CATTCAACTCAGAAGCTGGGCGACGAAACTATATCCAGTCTACAAATGGAGCAAAAATACTTCGGCCACCGTCCGGCAGAAGCAAAAAATTTGCCTCTGCTCCGAACAGCGCCGCTGTCTAGCGTCCATTTTAACCGGAAGATAATGCCATAATGCAAACTGTCCAGTTCTGATGTGGGCAATCAGTTTCTCTTTGCGAGTCAGTTTCTGTCAAGACATCCTCATTGCTCTTTTTGTCTGTCCAGGCTGTTCTCATCAATCGGCTATAAAACTAATCTCTACAGCTTCCAAAAAATCTGTCACTAATCTACCAATTGTCCATGATTCACTTCCATATATCAGGATCTCTACATGATGATTATATGCCCAGTAAGCCTCATGTCTATAAATAAGTTTCTGTAGGTACTATAAATACAGTGGTACTCCAGTATTCTTCACTAATCAGTTAGTTAGTTAGTTAGTTAGTTAGTTAGTTAGTTAGTTAGTTAGTTAGTTAGTTAGTTAGTTAGTTAGTTAGTTAGTTAGTTAGTTAGTTAGTTAGTTAGTTAGTTAGTTAGTTAGTTAGTTAGTTAGCTAGTTGGGTTATCATCATTGCACTCCGTACATGTCCATAGGTGCTCAGATCCTCCCCTCAGTATGAACCCCAACGTCCGATGGCTAATAGTACCAGTTCTATGTTGATTAACAAGTCTTCTGGTGTGTCTGGTGTGCGTCTCGTTTTTTGCTGTGCCGATCTTAATTCCCAAGTCTGCCATTCTGGCGAGTGATGTGGATTCACTGCCACCAAAGTCCTCTATCCTTCCCATTTCTCGGAGGGCATTGATAATATCAGCATGATCCATAGGCTGAACGTCGGTAGTGATAGCGGATCACTATCACTATTCATCACTAATCCGTCCCTGAAGGGATATAAATATTATAAATTTAAAACATCCACCAAGATTTCCCCCCATAGGAATGAACTAAAACTGGTTTAATTCATTCTTAGTCCCAAATTTTGCCTGTCTATTCTTTAACAAACAAACAAACAAAACAACAACAAAAGTTACGCTCACAAATTGATCTCGGAAATCACTGCAAATAATTGTAACTGCATATTGACCACTGTACTTATTATTACTTTACCAATTTAACAGAAATTTACTTGTCCTAATGACGTAAATATACAGTAGACCTACACAAATACATAAATAACATTTCGGTTTTTTAATGTACTTTTTGGGTAAAATATAACGCCTATTATTTGGAAGGGAAGTCACCTTTCATTATAAGATCAGGTAATGTTACTTCTGTTGATTGATGTCCTCATAGTTTATCAACATTTCTTGTCGATACACCAACACTCTTTTTTTTCAAAGAAGCTATCCGATGGTTTTTATTGTTTTTTTTTTTTTTTTTGTTTGTTGTTTTTTTTAAATTGTCAGAAATTGTCCAAACATATCGTCATTAAATAAAGTGATAACCTAATTATACATGGTAATTTTTAGGTGCCGTTTCTCGGTGAAAACCTGCATCGTTTGCCCAAGTGGATGCCATTCCTTTATTTCAGCACTGGAACGGGCCCTTCTTTTTCCTCATCTGATGACTCACCGGCCACGCCAGAGGAATGACAAATATGCACTTTTCGGGCGAATATAAAAAATTTCAGCGAAAAACAACAGGATGAATTTTTTTTAAAGAAGAAAAAAGACAATTATTTGCGTGGATGAATACTGGAGTTCAACTGTAACAACAAATGGTACCTGGGCATTTCTATCTAATGCTGGTTCTGGAATAAAGCCTTCGTCATGTTGCTCTCTCTCCACCAATGGTGCCAGTTGAAACCAAGATCTCAAATCCATTCCTTCTCACACCATGTCCAAAACACATGTAACTATTCTAATAAGTTTACAACTTTCATCTGTATCCACGAGGACAGCTTCATTTGTTTTTCTATCACTCCATAATTTTCTTGGCATTCTTCTCAGAAACCACATCTTTGCAACTAACAAATGATTTCCAGCTTTAGAGTAAACTCTGACAGAATGTAAAATACAATATTGCCCAACAGATATATTTCTGGGGAACAACCACAAATAAATTGTTTTTGGAACTGAAACATTTCAGTAAGTGGCTCCCTAAAAACCAATAATTCGACACTAACAATAATTCTGTAAAGGAATTATTAAGGAAGTATTATCAGAAGGAAAGAATCCATAAAGGAACTGACAGTGTTAAATCTGATTCTTATAGGAATAAATTCAGTAATGTAAATGGTAACAATAATCTGGAGCTCACAGACTCATTCATTAATTATCCTGTTGAGGGAACACATCAGGAAGATGTCCGCATCTGGCAGGGCGCCAGATTTCCTATCGGCTCTGGTGCATTGTAGAGGTGTCACCTTTTGTTATTTTCAACGCTATAAACATTCTACATCCCACGTTGTGAGCACCCGGCACATTCTATTTTGCACGTCATCAGCAGCCGGCACTGATAGCGCTACTTGTTGTGCATTCTATCTTCATCGCTATGACTGTACAGTCAGTTAGCAACTTTACCTTCGCTACGAATTTCCTTCAACTGTCAGTATTGGTAAGCCACAAGTAGAGTAGCGCTGCTTTTCTGGAAGAGCCACACCCCCCCCCCCCAAATTCTCAAAAGCATCGACCGTTGCAGAAGAGATGTAGTTGAGAAAGAAAAGAAAACTAGTTGAAGCCTCGCACGCGAACAGTGAAAAAAGACCTCCAGTTTCATGTCGGGCCTCGAACGAACAGGAGCTACTTTTCCACACATGGTTTGTAAAGATGGAGGAGGCGAAGGAACAGATATCCCACTTACAACATAGAAGAGCCTGTGGGAACAGGCTGCAAATAAATTCTTTCCCATTTTCGCTGTCTTAAAATGTGAGAATGTGACTATAAGCTACAACACAGATTAAAAGAAGAGCAATGTGGAAATGCTGGAATGAAAAATTGGGAAGTAAAGGCAGCTGGCATGACACTGACCACATCACTGACTGGATTCCAGCTGGTACACAGTGCAGACCTTATCAGGAGAACTCACAGGGGACCCAAGAAATTATACTTCTCATCAGAACTCCCTCTTAACCAATAAGAATTTTAGCAAGTAAAATTCAGATAAACAAACTGTTCTGCACAACAGAAATTCACCACATCTGAGAGCACATTAAGCAGTTAGCTCTGGAACAGTGTTGGCCTAGAACTCGTTTGAACCCTCTCCCCTATTCCATGGAAAACAACACTAACTACACACACATTAAATATTTTGAAAACGCATGCATCTCAAAATGTGTATACATGTATTGTGTAACTACACATTAGGACATTAATTTTAGTAACTGCTAAACATTAGTAAATGTGTAAATAGTAGTGCTGTCTAAATACAAAACATGTGTGTATGTTATGGTAATTTTGTATGACTACCAAACATGAGTACTTCTGTAAATGCTATTTTTTCTTCAACACTAAACGGAACGTGTGTAAATGGTAAATTGTCTGTATCTACCAAACATAAGCAAATATATGAAAATGGTAGCTTTTCTGTAACTGCCAAATATCAGTACACACATAAACAATAAAAGTGCCTTTAACCACAAATTTCTAAAAATGACATTTTTTAATATCCTTATGTGTAGAAAATGAAAAATCGTTGTTGAATAGATAAACAGCGATAATTGCTTGTAAGGAAAACCACAGGTCATGTATGAATGGAAGTTATTTGTCTTTTTTCCTATCAATAAACTGATAACATTCCCACTGCCAACTATTTATCATTTGTTGTTTTATTTTAAAAACTATGGTTCATATTGAGAAAAGCAACAACGACAAAAACTATCAGGTCTAAATAAATTTGCCACGAGGCTAACAGCCCAGAAGAACTTCTTATCTTTTTCTTTTTAGCATTTACTGTTTGTAAATCCCAGTGGAAAGTTCTGCTCGTTCACTGTCTTCTGGAGTTTTTTTTTTTTTTTTCAGAACCTGATATATGCATAAACTTCTATTTTGCAGATCTGGCTTATCTTTATGCAGACAGTTAGTTAGGTAGACTCGCTCCGATTTAGGAGGAAACCTCCCTAATTAGTAGCCTTTTTACGACAAACTTATTGGGGAAGGGGTACGGGAGAGAGGGTGAGTCTATTAATTCCCCCCAAATATGCCCTCCACATGGGAAGCACAGAAAAACAAAGTCACATATTAAAAAAAAGTGTACCACATTTCTCACACCAAAAATATGGTGTCAAAAAAAAAAAGCCAGAGAAACAAAAAAGTCATCAGTGTGAGAACATAGTAAACAAGTCATCAATGTAAGTACAGAGTAAACAAGTTGTCAGTGTATATAGTAAACAAGTCATCAGTGTAAGTACATAGCTAAAACTTTGTTTTACTAACAAAGGTATCTGTAAACAAAAACATTTTACTCCATAATTATGAGCTGCATCAGTTGCAATGAAAATGCTAGGAGTGCCAGTGTATATATATATATATATATATATATATATATATATATATATATATATATATATATATATATATATATATATATATATATATATATATATATATATAACAGACCAGAACGACAAACTTCAAATATAACATCTGTTTTACAGAACTGGCTTATTTGTATGTAGATTTTTGGTTTCTCACATCTCAGGCAGTTGCATTCTGATTTCAAAGGATGCACCCCTATTTAACACATGCCTGCTAGGAATGCAGTGCATATATTTTTCTGGAGGGTGCGGAGGGAGGGGGGGGGGGGGGGGGGGGGGGGGTTTGCCTGTTTCAATGTGTGTGTTTATGCATACATGTATTTGTATAGGGATGTGGTATCTAGGAATGTTTGGATATTAAAAGTTAGTACATGGGATTTGTAGGTGTGTGTATGTAGTTTAGTGTATCTCTAGGCGATATGTACATAAGCATATTTATGTGTGATTGTGTTTGTAGGTGTGTATGCATGTGTATATGAGCTATGTGTGCATGAGTAAGTTTGTTAATCTATGTATATGTGTTTGCATGTACGTACGCTGCAATTACTTCACTCTCCAAACTGCTGTCATTGACTCTTTGTTGTTGGTTTTGTGTTGAATTCTGTTCCAGGTTCGTGGTATTTTGATAAGAAGAGATTTCATGAAAATTGCTGCGGGTTGATCTGTTTATTTTTGAAGTTTCATCTTCTGAAACTTTTTTTCTCGGAGCTGGCAGTGGGGGTGGGTTAACTGGGGTAGGAAGAGGAGGTAGGTTGACTGTTGTTTGGGTTAAATGCACAGAAGATATGCTATTGGCATCAGACGCTGAAGATGGATTGGGATTAGATTCTACAGGTGGATTGATATTAGATCGTGATGTTAGATTTGGCCCTGAAGATGGTGCTAGTGGAGATCCTGCCAAGACAGCACTAGCTGAAGTCGTGCTGAGATCAACGGTGGAAATGAGGATTTCTGCTTCTGCAGCTGGTGGAGAAGACACGGTCGTTGCTGAGCTCAGTCTGCTGAGGTCAGCTTCATCACCAGCCCCTGACAACAGCTCCAAGGACTTGGCCCCTCGGACACGCCTGAATGACCTGCTTCTTTCTGTCATGCGAATCCCCTTGATGGTCATCTCACCAAAGGAATGGAAGCTTGTCTGCCTCCTAAAGTTGGAGTCAGCATCACTACTGGATCTTCTACCAATCAGGCTTGACCTTCTTTCAGGAGTGTTGCTGCGGCTGTTTCTTCTTTCTGGTGTAGTACTTCTACTGTGCCCAAGACTCTCTCGACTAAGAGCTTTCTTGATTGCAGGAAATAAGCTTCCAAAGGACTTGCTCTTCTGTCTCTGCTGAGGTGCAAGTCTGACAGTTCCGTTGGTGCCCTTCAGACTAAACAAATGCTCTTTGCTGCCCAGGTTAAGAAAATTTGGGTTGGACAAAGATTTCCGGAGTGTTTCTTGGTGTGCTCTGGCATTAACCATTTTGCGAATAAGATGAGCACTGGGAGCTGCTGACTGAGGCTTGCCCTGTGTGCTCACATCAACAGGAATATTCATGTACCCAAAAGATTTACTCCTGTCCCTCACAGCCCCTGCATGATCATGAAACTTCTTCAACCCTGTGAAAGGAAGAGGAGGTTTCTCATTAGATGATCCAGTTGAAGAAACAGTCTGCAGACCTCTGGATGTATCAACATCGTCAAGACATTCAGCTGTAACACCCCCACCATTGCTGTCACCATCATAAATTACTGTCCTCATGTGGTCGCTGAGGTCTTCACAACTTGCAGACATCAACCACTCACTAACAGATTCATCCACACTGTTGCTAGCCTCCGAGACTGCACCTACTTCCCTGTCCATGTCCTCTCTAATCTCTGACCCACCACTCGGAGTCCTTGTATCATTACCCATGTTCTGAGAATGATTGTCAGCACTCGTCCTCCTTGCATTACTAGATGAATGTGGTCGTTTACCTTCTGCATTTCCAGAATCTAAACTGCTAGGAGGTACGTAGCTCGCCCTATCTTCATGTATTTGTTTCTTCTTCTGCCTGGTAAGTGAAGGTGAAAAGTTACTCCCATTATCCTCCAACTTTTGCCTATCCCAAGAAGCTGTAGTATCCAACATAGTTTCTGGAGCTGATCTTTGCCTACTATGAATAACTTCTCTCCCTGGTGAGCTCTGTAGATTGGCGTAGCCGTGTGTACGTGCTTGTGCAGCTACAGGGAAATCCATGCAATTGTAGACACTGACAGACTGTTCACTGGTACTCATATCGTGCCGCAACTTTGACCCTACAGGGTTCTCTACAGAATTCTGCCCGCCATATTTGTTCCAGCTGGCTCTGGAAATTTCGTTGAGATAATCGGCAGCCTCCTGCTGATCGTCTTCTCCTACTGTTGCAGATTTGAAGTCCCATGGCTCGTCAGCAGATGCAGGTGTTCTCACCCCACTCTGCTGTAATGACAACAGGTACTCAGCCCTTCCCACCTTGTTAGGATGTCTGATAACAACAGGGGACTTACTCACACGGACTTTCATATTTGGTGAACTTAAATTATAAAATTCTGTGTGATGAGGGATGCTGGGCTCTGAGATGGTTGCACTGGCCAAGGGAGATGGATCAATGGCAGAAGTGTGACTGCTACTGGAAAGTCTTAAATCAGATGATGTTTCAGTACCTGTCAAAGCACTTTTTGATGAAACAACCTGATTTCTACCTTCTGAATTTGTCCCAACCACATCAATTTTCCGGGGAATGCTGTGTTCTCGTCTCTGGCTTCTCCTAGGAACACCACTGTTGCTTGATCGGGATGGAGGTGGTGGCGGTCGTACTGTGACTCGAGTGTCTGTTTTGTGGCCACGAACAGCAAGGCTATCTGAACTAGGTCTACGGTTTTCAGAAGTTTCCCCAGGCCTTTCCAAGTTGATGACAAGACTGGATGACTGAACCGTGCGGTTCGTTGATGATGACTGGGAGACATGAGCACTGTAGAAACCAAAAAAAATTTAAACCTGTTAATGTTTAGCAATACAAAATTCATGAAACCCATTATTTATTAAAATAAGAAGACCCTGTTCATACCAACGGCACACCAGGTATATGTTTTATGTTTCTCTTTTGAAGCTTCCCAAAATGTCTAGAGTTTGTGCATTGATACATATACCATATGTGCTTCATGAATGAGATAGATTACGTAACATTGTTAGAGTAGACATATGTGAATGAACAATGTATGTGCTTTGCGAGTGAAATCAAACTGTCATAAATGCACGAATTCATTCATGTGAATACTTTAAGCTGTTTAACTGAATTTACCCAGGGGCCAACATTTTGAAAATGAGGATCATCAGGAGCCAGAGACCCGAGTCCAGGCATGGCCAGATCATTAATACAACTGGCAATGGTCCGCAGGCCACTTGCTAGGTCTTAGTGGGCCACAGTTCTCCAGCAGGCCACCAGTTGAATAGCCCTGGTATAGACTAATCAGAATTTGGTGGTGTGGTGCTGGCTGCCTTTATGTTCCAGAACACTACCTACCACCCATTTCAGGCTGGGTCATCCTTGGAAGCCAAGGCCATTTTTTTAAATCTGTCTTAAACCCAGATTTGAACTCAAGACATTTGGGCAGGCAAGCAAGCATCTAATTAACTATCATCCTCATGAAGCCGGTCCTTTAAAGAGCATCACTCTCATCATGGTCTGCCAGACAAACTCAAGTCTTTACCTAATCTCTCACCACATTTACTTTCCTACCCATGCTGTCACTTATATCCTGTACCCATTTTCATGCTGCTTGGACCCTGCCTCTCTATCCTAGTACTATGCCTTCTGCTATTATTTATTTCCACTCCACCACGGGGCTTGACATGGCCAGAATATTTCAGTTTTTGAGACCAGATGCTATTTAATAGTCATGTCTTCCTCAATATCAGTCTTTTAGGATGTCAGTATTTGGGGGAGGGGGAGTCTATGGTATTCTGAGCCTCTCTCTATGGTATTTTAGCTCAAAAGCTCATATCTTCTTCCTTAATGAAACTACACAAATAGAAGGGGGGAAAAAATGTGACCTACCCGTTACTCCTGTGTCTAGGAGCTGATGCTTGAGCTTGTGGACTGGCAGCACTGGATGTGAGTTCTTCTAAGTAGAATAGAATATCCAGACATGAAATAGCCAGTAAATTCTCTTACTTCTGCATTCACTGTTATGAAATAGCCAGTAAATTCTCTTACTTCTGCATTCACTGTTATTAAATAGCCAGTAAATTCTCTTACTTCTGCATTCACTGTTATGAAATAGCCAGTAAATTCTCTTACTTCTGCATTCACTGTTATGAAATAGCCAGTAAATTCTCTTACTTCTGCATTCACTGTTATGAAATAGCCAGTAAATTCTTTTACTTCTGCATTCACTGTTATGAAATAGCCAGTAAATTCTCTTACTTCTGCATTCACTGTTATGAAATAGCCAGTAAATTCTCTTACTTCTGCATTCACTGTTATGAAATAGCCAGTAAATTCTCTTACTTCTGCATTCACTGTTATGAAATAGCCAGTAAAATCTCTTACTTCTGTATTCACTGTTATGAAATAGCCAGTAAATTCTCTTACTTCTGCATTCACTGTTATGAAATAGCCAGTAAATTCTCTTACTTCTGCATTCACTGTTATGAAATAGCCAGTAAATTCTCTTACTTCTGCATTCACTGTTATGAAATAGCCAGTAAAATCTCTTACTTCTGTATTCACTGTTATGAAATAGCCAGTAAATTCTCTTACTTCTGCATTCACTGTTATGAAATAGCCAGTAAATTCTCTTACTTCTGCATTCACTGTTATGAAATAGCCAGTAAATTCTCTTACTTCTGCATTCACTGTTATGAAATAGCCAGTAAATTCTCTTACTTCTGTATTCACTGTTATGAAATAGCCAGTAAATTCTCTTACTTCTGCATTCACTGTTATGAAATAGCCAGTAAATTCTCTTACTTCTGCATTCACTGTTACAAGAATGGTTGGCAAGCATGCAGTGCTGTAATATACAGCTAGGCTGCAAAAGCTGCATCTTTCTGCCCTGTGATATTACATTTCAGCAAACTTTCAACCCCCAACACATCACACTTGTTAAGGGGTAATGAGTTCATTTCTTTTTTCTTTCCTGCATAAAATGGAGCATAGGAGATTCTGGCTATGTAGCCTGCAGATGAACAAGTCTATGCTGCCTTTGAGGCTGAGACAGGAGAAACTATAACCAGCTTCTCGTGGACTCAGCAGAGGTACTTTGGAGTGGCTGAAACGTCTGAGGACTGAGCACACGTGGGAATGTCCAAAGTGCCGTGACATCAATTGTGAAAACATAATATACTATACTATTCTGTGAAGGAGCTGTTGCATAATGATGATAAAGGCATATGCAAACAAAAAAAAGTAAAGGAAAACTTTAGCTGCTTCTGATGCATCGAGCGTATAGAGCTAGATATATACTTTTTTTTCAGCCAAACGGTATGCGATGGATAACGTCATCAACATTAGGTAGGTGGCCTCTACTTCCTGTGATATTACTTGGTACTCATTTTAGACTGGGCAGATCAAGGAGCCAATGCTAATTCAAGGGGGAAAATGTCCACCTTTCTGCAGCTATGAAAACACCAAAACATCAGTCATACACAATGTACACACCAAAACATCAACCACAAACAACATACACGTCAGAACATCAACCACACATATGTTACACCAGAACATCAACCACACAGATGAACACACCAGAACATCAACCACACACATGTACACACCAGAACATCAACCACACATGTACACACCAGAACACAACAACACACAATGCCAGAACATCAACCACAAACAACATACACGTCAGAACATCAACCACACACATGTACACACCAGAACATCAACCACGCACATGTACACACCAGAACATCAACCATGCACATGTACACACTAGAACATCAACAAAACACATGTACACGCTAGAACATCAACCATGCACAATGTATACACCAGAAACACACCATCTGCAACATATTTACCAGGATTGTTGAAGCTGATATCCCAGTTTCTTTTAAGAACATTTCTGATTTCATAATTCTGTGGTGAGCAAACATTGATGGTTGTGAGGGAATGAAGACAATCGTGCTCACGGATGTAGTCTTCTATTTCCTCTGGAGTCCCCTTCTGTGTCGGCTAAACAGATAGGGAAACAGCGTACAGGATTCAACCCAAAAAATGTGAATTCTTATAACAAAAAATGTTTCTAGATAACAATATGTATTAGGTAACTATTGTAACAGGGAGAAGTCATCACTTGTTTGACAGGAGGTAGAATATTGCGTATTAGTTGATGGGAAGAAAATCAACAGGTCTTGGCAACGATATTTTGTAAATAGTATTTGACGTCATTGAGAACCTAGTAGCACTTATTTTATAGGAGTCTATTGACGTCAACTGTCAATTTAATTACTATATTTGTGCAGAATAAGATGATGAAATCTGGTGCAATCGAGATATAATTAGAAAATCCCACGTGAGAACGCACATAGTAAACATGTTGAGACGTACTAGAATATTCTAGAAGCACACAAAAAGTGAGAAGAAAACTCGCATAACTAGCATTCCAGCATCCAAGTATAAATAATGAGTAACAAAGCACTTTAGCAGCTTTCAGTCTACAAAGACTTAAAAAGTGGACAGACTAGTAATATGGACCCTCAGAGCAAGCCTTCAGTTGTAGAGATGTCAGTCAAACACTAGAACCTTTCAGTCTACAAGACTTAGGAGACGAGGGACTAGTTACATGGACCCTCAGAGCAAGCCTTCAGCTGTTGAGACTCAAAGAGAACTTTCAGTCGTAGAGATGCTAACTCAACACTAAAAGGAGAGGAGCCAGTCACATGGAGCCCCCAAGACAGACACAGAGAAGAGACATGAAACAAGACATTGAGCTACAGAGGCAACACACAAGATACATGTATCCACGGTCAACAGAGACATATTAGGTAGGTACACTATTAAGATGTTAGAGTCGACAATCAAGCTGTTAGTATCAGACAGCACAAGAAGCCAGGTGGCAGTTACAGACACTAGAATCAGTTAACAAAGCAACTAGAGATGAAGAACACAACGCGACCTTCAGAGTATGTAACTATAGAAAGAACACAGCGCCATTCAGAATATCATTGACACGTTGTTTGTGACATTGCTGTAGTATCACAATAAAGACAGTATAGACAAGAACAGTTTTTTCCAGACATTTTATTATACAAGCATCAGAGTCACATGTGAAGCATGCAGCAAGTAAGACATCATCATCGTCACCACCACTATCGACACGATAATCTTTCTCCACTCGTCTATACCCTTCCAAATCAACTCCTCCTATAGCAAAACTAAAGACGAACCTGGGTGTGACATCGATGTACGCAAAGAACAAAGCCGTGCTATACTATATAACAGGAATTTAAGTATCCAGGCACATGGATAACATCCGACAGAAGATGTGCCACAGAGATAAAAAAAACAGATCAGGACAGGCCAAAACTGCATTTTAAAAAATGAAGAATATTTTGTGCAATAAATCCATGTCATTGGAGGTTAGGAAAACAATCTGCATGCTATATAAAGCCAGTTTTAACATACGGCCGTAAATCCTGGACAATTAATAAATAAGCCAAACAATATCTTGAGGCCTCGGAGATGTGGGTTTTACTGAAGTTTCCTTATAATTTCTTGGACAGCTAAGAAGAGCAATAAAATTGTTTTGAAAGGGGCGAGGGCTAGAGGACAACATATCACAAACATCAGAAAGAGACAGTCATCATTTTTTGGTCAAGTTATGAGAAGAGGGAAACTGGAACATGCTGTGACCACTGGAAAGATCTGTGGAAAGAGAGACGGGGAAGACAACGCAAGAAGATTTTTGACAACATTTTGTCAATGCATGAAGGGGTGTCAACAGACAAACCGATACACAGTTGAGGATCATGAAGGGTGGACAGGCATAATCGCCCATGTCAGTCCCCAAGACACTTAATGATCAGGTAACTAATGTCATGACCCCGTGACCTCTATCACTGAGGCTTACAGGGAAGTTAGACATTGACTTGGCTGTTAAAAAGCTATTTCATTCACAGGAACCCCACTCCAAAGTTGAAAGTCTGATTGTCAAAAAAGTGGAGAGTGTTAATGCCATCTTGCAGTGAACCCAAACTAATCTTGACCGTAACCAAACAACTGACACTTCACAGGTTTTTTAAGAGAGAGGGCTCATGCCACCTAGCAGATAAGTCAATCAACTCTAACCTTGACTCGATCCAAAGTGTTGACAATGTAACTGTCTAGCAAGTTATACATTAAATCGTCATCGCCAGGCTGAGTCTTGAAACTGAACAGCCCCTCTCCCATGGGGGCAACTCTCCCGGCTTCAATGCTGAAGTTACCTGCTCCTGATGCCTCATAGTAACGAATGCTCTTGAGAGGCCATTGCGCAAGAAGAGCTCTTGTTTGCTGAGGAGAATAAAAAAAACATTCACTTGTATTGTACACCTGTTTGTTATTCTGCTCCAATGAAGGACGCAATTTTTTTTAAAGCTCCATACCGGCTGTCAGCGGCGGCCCTAAAGTGAACCTAACAGTTGAACAGGGTTTCTAGGACTCACGCTCAGGCGATTTTCATATAAATGGTGGCACTTTATATCACAAGGTGTTTATCGCTCATTGTGTGGTCCTGGTGGGGATGAACATCAGTCAGTCATCTTCTTCTCGGTGTAACTGACTTGCAGAGTATGTTGAGAAAGGTGAAGACAGGCATGCTTCGTGCAGAGTGGCAAGCATCACTTCAGAGGTCTCAGGTAGTTAGCATCCTTTGGATATTTTCTCCAGGTGATGCCGGTGTGTTGAAAAACGAGCAAGCAGATAGACTGGCTAGCTCTGCACCACTTGGTGATGAACTGATGTATGACGAGCTGGATGTCGTGAGGGCCTTTTGGGAGTGATTAAACAGTGCGAAGGCACAGATAGATCATTACGGTCTGGGGAGAATGGTGCTGCGAGAAGCTACCAAGGGATCTGGTCATGGTGCTTAACACTCAGGGGAAAGACGAGATGGATATACGATCAGACAGTTACTGGTGCCATCGGAATTGAAGCTCTTCGCTTGCTGCTGAAGATGGGGACAGGTCGATTATGGGGTAGTCCCGGGCGCTGCGATGTGCTGTGACTTATGATCACAAAATAAAACTAGTAAACAAAGAAAGAGACCTACATTGGTAGCGTCAAAAATGTTCCAAGAATTTATGCCTGCAGCACCATAATATGCATATATGCAATACTTATAATGTACAATTTTTATAACCCATTTACCTTGTGTGGGTTCCAGGGTCCCGCAAGGACAGACCCACTGCCTGCCCAACAAGCATGTCATAAGAGCTGACTAACTGGGGACTTCCCAGTGTGCATTACCATATACTCAAAGGAGAGCGTGGGGATTACGCCACATACTCAAGGGGACGTTAAGGTCTCACCATATACGCAAGAGGAGCGTACGGATCATGGCATATACTCAAGGGGACGTGATCTTGCCATATACTCAAGGGTCTTGTTTCAAAATTTGAGTTTTGTGTGCATGTCTGTTTTACAGATCTGACTTATTTGTATGTAGAATGTTGGTTTCTTTGCCTCTCAGGCAAATACATTTAAAGGCACACAATTAGTCACCTAGTCATCTTTTATGGCATACTTTTTGTTTTGAAAAAAAAAAAGGGGGGGGGGGGGGGCGGTGTTCTACAATGATGCCAAAGAAAAGAGAACTCTCACCTCCAAAACCAGGGTGAGACCCCATGGAGATGCATGTAAGACACAGTTGCTTCCCTTGGCTCCAATTTTCTGCTGACTGTCTGAGTCATCTGGAACAACACTGATGAATTCTTCTGAAAATTAAAATCAAAATAATGTAAAAATTAATCTCAGAATTAATGGAAATTTTTCTTTCAATCTTAGATGGCAAATATTAACAGAATAATCAATGCAAATAATTCTCATGGCATAATCAAAGCAAAACAGAACAGAATAAATGTTAAAATAATGATAAACTCATGTGATTACTGCCAAAAAAAAAAAAAAAGAAATTTTCTGTAAGAATTAATACAATAATTAATGCAAAAAATGCATAATGAGAATTATGGAAATATGTTAAATTATATCATAAAATTAGGGGTTTTTCGTCTGAGATGTATAATAAATAAAGGAAAATTCACCTAAGAATTAAGGCAAACATTATTTGAAATTCAATTGAGAATTAAATTGAAAATTCATGTACATTTTATCTATGAATAAAACTGAAAAAGCAACACATGGAAACACTGCTGTATACAATCAATAAGGATCTCCAGTTGTATACTGATCTTTGTTTTATTCAGTTTCATGTAACTCAATCTTTGTTTTATTCAGTTTCAAGTAACTCAATCTTTGTTTTATTCAGTTTCAAGTAACTCAATCTTTGTTTTTTTCAGTTTCATGTAACTCAATCTTTGTTTTATTCAGTTTCAAGTAACTCAATCTTTGTTTTTTTTTCAGTTTCATGTAACTCAATCTTTGTTTTATTCAGTTTCATGTAACTCAATCTTTGTTTTATTCAGTTTCAAGTAACTTACTGCCGTATCTCATAAATCTTCTTCTTCTTCTGCATTCTGCCTTTCTATCCCCCAATTGAGCATAGGCCCTCAACCAACTCACGCCAAGTCGTTCTATCCTTCGCTATTGCATGGAGCTCCCCCCATGTCCTCCCTATCTTTCTAACTTCATTCTCCAGCTCTCTTCTCCATGTGTTTTTTTGCCTTCCTTTATTCCTATGTCTCTGTGGGTTCCAATGCAAAGACATTCTAGTTATGCTGTTCTCCTTTTTTCTCAGTGTGTGTCCTATCCAATGCCAGGGTCTTTTCCTCACCTCTTGGTTTACTGGTCCCTGTTTAGTTCTCTCCCAAAGCTCTACATTAGTTATTCTATACCATTTAATTCCTTCTATTCTGCGCAGGCACCAGTTAATGAATGTTTGTAGTTTATTAGTAATTGCCTTAGTTGTTCTCCATGTTCCCGCCTCATTCAAAAGTACTGATATGACATTAGAAAAAAAAAATGTTTGTTTAGTATTTCTTATAATTTCTCATAAATAAACAGCATTAAAACTAATTTTACAGTATTTATCGTCTTTTCCTGTTTCAATTCAGCAGCTTGATTAGAATGCTAGGCTCTCATTCCGATGGTCTGGAATCAAATCTTCATTAAGGTCATGGACATTTTTCCCCGTCAGGGTTTAAAAAAAATCAAGACCTGCACAGTTCATACCAAGTGCACTAGCCAGATAACCCTAAATCCTCAAGCTAAAGACATCCTCTAGAAACCCCCAAAAATTGTGTGATAACAGGCAATGAAGACAGCCCCTTCCCCCTCCACCACAATTTTTTTCTTCATCTTCATTGTGTTCACTAGCTGTTAACTCTGGCAGAAACTTCTGAATGTTAGTCCACCTCAGTACTTTATTCTTGTTCCAGAACCTGAGTGTTGTGTGAACAGATCTGGCTTATTTGTATGCAGACTCTTGGTTCCTTGCCTTTTAGGCAGATGTACTCGACTTCAAAGAATACCCCCCAGGTAGTCGACTCCTTTGACATGCCAGTTGGGGAGGCTGTGGGTCTATTCTTGCTTTTCTCACAATGGCGTCTTGAAATCCAATCAGAGAGAGAGAAAAAAATTCTGATGAGTTGTTTTTTATTAATCTAAGAAAAAAAAATTATTTTTGCCGCAACTATTCTTGTTTCAATTTCAACAAAATGTATTCCAACCAAATCTGAACCAGCAAAGTATCATAAACCGAACGTGTCCACATCACTTCTAAGAATATGTGAATTGTAAAGATCGGCACAGCCAAGCATGAGAAGCACACTGGACGCACACGAAGTCTTGTTAACCAACATAGGACTGGTACTATTAACCACACGACGCTGATGAATATGTTGAGAGGGGAGGAATCTGAGCACCTAAAGATGTGTCCGGAGTGCTGTGAAGATAATCTAACTCATAACTCCTATCATAAACCAGCACTCCTGCCTATCAACTGATGTAATATAACAAATGCCAATCAATCAATCAGTAGACTCTTTACAGTATGTTGTTCTCTTCACTGCATGCCTGAAAGTCTTTCTCTAGTCAGTTCTCCAGCCCTCTGGGCTTTCAAATCTAATAATGCATCTGCAATTTCCTGTAGCCCCCTTCGCAGAGCTCAGCCTCTGCTTTCAAAAAATCTCCCCCTCCATCACCATTCTCTCCATGCCACCATATGTAACCCCAAAAAAAACTAGAGATTTCACGACAGGATGCTGTTTATGAGTCAATTTTCCTCGCTGTTCTGATCATGTCAGTAGAATGACCTGTATAGTTACTTTTAATGTTCTTCAATTAGATCTGAATTTGTAGAAGAAAAACCAGAACACTGATTTTTTTTCTTTGTCTGCTAAAAGTTACTTTTGCCCTGACAAAAACATATACTAATCAAATAGGAACCAGTAAAATATTAGAAAAGTTCCATCCCTCTATCAATTTTTTTCTTCGTCTTTTGTTACTTTTGCCCTGACAAAAACATTCTAATCAAATATGAACCAGTAAAGTATTAGAAATGTTCCATCTCTCAATCAATCAAAGGGACATCACTTGTGTACTTACTTTTAATGTTCTCCTTCAGTCGGATTTGAATTTGTAGAAGAAAAACCAGAACATCGATTTGTGTCTCTTCATCTGCAGACAGAAATATGTGGACATCTGGGGATGTTATCTCACATACGTAAGCTCGACCCCTGGCATTGTGAAGTTTCTCCACCTTGTAACTGGGCCACAGCTCAAACGAGTCTACAAACAAAGGAAGAATATTTATGTACGACTGCTAAATAATTATGCCACATGAACTAGGTTTAAGCACAGGATGAGGTGACTGCCTCTTTCCTTCATCTGCCTTTCTTCCTATTAACCATTTCAGGGGCAGAATGACTAGCAAAGTAATGCAAAAGTATTCGATTCAGTATTTATTCAACATTCATTCATTTACTGTCCTGTTAGTTAGTCTTTCCTCTTGTGTCGAGTGCGGCACATAGGGCAGAGGTCATGACTCTCCATGCATGGCGGTTCGTTGCAATCTGTTGTAGGTCTTGGATGTCTGAGTGGCCCATGAGCGAGCCTTCCCTGATAATAGTTCTACGTAAGGTTTCCCTTGGTCTTCCACGAGATCTTTTCCCCTGTGGTGTCCAAATGAGGGCTTGGTAAGGAAGTCTTGATTTATCCATTCTAAGGGCGTGGTCGACATAGTTCCAGCGGCGTTTTCGTATACAATTAGACACATACTCTTGCCTGGATTCTTGCCTTATTTGTGTAATGGTTTGGAAATCTGACCATTTGAAATTTAGTATTCTTCTAAGGCATTTATTTTCAAAACTGTCTAATTTTGTGTCTAGAGTTTTCGTGGATTTCCAGCTCTCGCATCCATAGGTTAGTACTGGAATCACACAAGAATTGAAGATCTTGAGTTGTGTGTGTTTGCTAAGTTTCCAGATGTTAGACAGTTTATTTAAGGCACTAGATGCCAGTGCTATTCTAAATGGTATTTCTGGTGCTGTATCTCCTGTAGATGACATCTTGCTCCCCAGATAAGTGAAACTGTTGACTTTTTCAAGGCTGTTGTTGTTCAGCGTGATAGTGCCATTATATTCCACATTATAGTTAGCATCCTTCAGATATTTTCTCCAGGTCATGCCGGTGTGTTGGGAAATGAGCATGCAGATAGACTGGTCAGTTCTGCACCACTTGGTGGTGAACTGATGTAGGACAAGCTGGATGTTGTGAGGATCCTTTGGGAGTGAGTGAACAGTGCCGAGGAACAGATGGATCATTACGATCTGAGGAGAATGGCGCTGCGAGGAGTTACAAGGGGATCTGTACGACGCTCGACACTCAGGGGAAAGGCGAGATGGATATACAATCAGACAGTTACTGGTACCATCGGAATTTTACATCTTCGCTTGCTGCTGGAGATGGGGACGGAGCGCTTATGGGGGTGTCCTGAGTGCTATGATGTTGATTCTTACTACAACATTCAACTTGCCTCAAAGGGACTCGCAGTCTATTTCTCCATTCCTTTCTCTCTTTGTGCGATCACTTCGATATCATGGATAGAATCTAGTCCAGCACCTGTGGCTTCTGTCATCAGCGTTCACCTTTGGCTTCCGTCATCAGCGTTCACCTTTGGCTTCCGTCATCAGTGTTCACCTTTGGCTTCTGTCATCAGTGTTCACCTTTGGCTTCCGTCATCAGTGTTCACCTTTGGCTTCTGTCATCAGTGTTCACCTGTGGCTTCTGTCATCAGTGTTCACCTGTGGCTTCTGTCATCAGTGTTCACCTGTGGCTTCTGTCATCAGTGTTCACCTGTGGCTTCTGTCATCAGCGTTCACCTGTGGCTTCTGTCATCAGTATTCAACTTTGGCTTCTGTCATCAGTGTTCACCTGTGGCTTCTGTCATCAGTGTTCACCTGTGGCTTCTGTCATCAGTATTCACCTTTGGCTTCTGTCATCAGTGTTCACCTGTGGCTTCTGTCATCAGTATTCACCTTTGGCTTCTGTCATCAGTGTTCACCTGTGGCTTCTGTCATCAGTATTCACCTTTGGCTTCTGTCATCAGTGTTCACCTGTGGCTTCTCTCATCAGTATTCACCTGTGGCTTCTGTCATCAGCGTTCACCTGTGGCTTCTGTCATCAGTATTCACCTGTGGCTTCTGTCATCAGTGTTCACCATTGGCTTCTGTCATCAGTGTTCACCTTTGGCTTCTGTCATCAGTGTTCACCTTTGGGTGTCTCTTGGACATCATCCAATACAGGTACAAAAGAATACACCTGATCCAGAAGAAAACATTACAAGCAAGCAACAGAATGAAGACCTGGAACATCTCGCATGGCAATATGAACAAAGACGGCAAACCGACAATGTTGACGAAGCCTGGTCAAGATCATGATAGCAACTGAGGACCTAATGGCAGAACAACAGCGATGGCAGCTACGAAAATATAATGAAGAACTGAGCAGTAACACCACCAACGGATGGCAGAATAAGGAACACATAACCTAATCTGATCCAAACCTGCACAATAAGACAGAAATTACCTGGCCGCCCAGATAGACATGGAAGACATCAAATACTATCACTAAACACTACGTAATGAAACGGTAACACAATTTGCTGCCATAATTATAACTAATATTAACTAGCATAAGGCTAGCTACCTAGTCAGAGGCTGAACGTGGCTAACTAAAATCAAACAAACGAACAATGCCTAATTGGTGATTCTTCATCTTTTCAGAATGTGTCCAATATACAACCATCTTCTCTGCGTTTTAACTTTTGATACTTGTGGTTTGCCCAGGCATTTCTCTTAGTTCTTCACTCCTCTTCAACTTATCCTATTTTATGTTCATTGTTGTCAGGCATTTGTTTTCGAATGCGCTTAACTTTTGTTCAGTATCTTTAACATAGAACAACATTATTCATTTCATTATTGTCCAAGCCAGTGATTTTACCACCCTGAGATTAAAAACCTTAATCTAGACGGCAAGCCAATGAGGCAAATCCCACACAGCCACTTTCAACCTGCAAAGATGTTCTAATTAGGACAGCCATAACAGCCAGCCGTAACCTGCATTTGTGAGCAAGTGAGGGTGTGTGAATTATTATGTGAAAGAACGAAAAAAAAACTGTTTTTCAGATCTCCTGGGACACATAAAATGCTGTACAAATATGACAATAAATTAAGAGAAGAACAGTCTGCACTGACAATATCAGGGTAGAATAGCCTAAATAGAAGATATTATAGTAGAAGAGTCCAGACAGAAGTGATAACAGGCTAAAAGATTCTAAGATATGAAAGGAACAATAAAGCAAATATGATTTTTAAAAATTCATTGAAATCAAACCTGTAAGAGTACGCTCAGATTTCTTTCCATTCTTGGGTTTCTTCTTATGATACTCAAGCACTGGTTTGTCTCCTTTGTGGTAAAATATCAGGTACTTTGGCTTCCAAGTATCTGCCTTTGTTCCAATCAGACGCTTCCGGCTCTCATTTAACTTGTAAAACTCACCCTAAAGGGGGAAAAAAAGTAACATCAATGAGATTGAAACTGATGGAAGATTATTAAACGCTATCCTTGTGTGTGTCCCAAGACCCCCTTTTGAGGGATAATAAGAATTCACTAACTGTCCCTTTGACAAGGATGTCATAAAAGGCGACTAATTAGGGGTTTTTCCTTCAAAAGAGTCAAACTGCCTGAAAGGCAAGGAACCACCAATTTGCATATAAATAAGCCACATCTGTAAAATAGATGTACAGGCAAACTCTTCTGGAACAAAACTATGGTCCAGAAATGCATGAACAACCTAAACTTTCCGCTGAAGTTTATAACCAGTAAACACAAAGAAGAAGATTTTATGTGGTGACATGTTGCCAGAAAGACTAAAGTGGGCACCAAATGCCTGAAGAAGTCAGATGTGTTGGACGAAAATATGCTGTAAGTGGGCATAACTAATTATATCCTCAGATGAACACATAAAAAATTACAGGCTGTGTTAGTTATGTCAGTTGCATATGTTATTTATGTCAGTTGCATAACCATTAAGGGGTCACTACACGGCATTTTTTTCCAAATTATGACAAAAATATTACTTTTTCAATGTGTTTATTTTTGTAATTTTCGGCATTCGTAGAATAGATTACACACAAAATTTGTGTCATTGGTAAACATTTTACAATTGAAAAGGTAATACTAAAGACACCAACCCATGCACTTTTTTAAGTAAAAAAATTTTTAAAAGTCACTTTTCTAACAATTCTATTTTTCTGTTTGTTGTGTGTGGGATCTCCTAAATTCTCAGCTAATATAAAGATTAGAGATGTGAAATTTGGTGTGGATATTCCTAACACAATATTATAGGGTCAGGTCTATTTGAAATTACAGTTTATTAGGTCATTTACTTTTTAAATTTGATTATTAAATGAAAAAGCTACATTTGTGGATTTTTTTAACATACCAAAATTTTAATATTCTAAAAAAAATATTTAAAAACATCTTTAAAGTAAATAAACTAGACCTGACCCTAAACATAAGTTTAAAGTTCATGAATCAATCATTTGTTTTTCAATACCTCTGTTTGTTTTTAAGATTTTAGCTGTCTAAGTACATGTTGTTTTTTTCATCAAGATGGCGGCTGTTGCCATGGCAACTATGTTTTTTTAAACTTGAAGTCTACAAATGTATCAACATACATTCCTACAAACGACCATTATAAAATAATTGGTCTAACATTGTAAATAAAAAAAATAAAAAATTTCCTGTAGTGACCCCTTAAAGAACACTGCAAATTCCTGTGTGGATTCCTGGACCCCAGCATGGAGAAAACAAGAATAGACCCACTACATCCCCAACAAGAATGTTGTAAGAGTCGACTAATTGGGAGCTTCCTTCAAAGTTTGAGTGCATCTGCCTGAGAGGCAAGGAACCAACAGTCTGCATACAAATAAGCAAGATCTGTAGAACGGATACTAATGCAACACTCAAGTTCTAGAACAATATCAAAGTCCAGAAAAGGACGAACAACCAGGTCTTTCCCCCAGGGTTCATAGCAAACATCAACAAAAAACACAGCAAACCAATTGCAGCTTATTTTAAGTTGTTTATGGTTGTTATGTACTAGGCAATTTTATGTCTTTTATTTTTTTATAGACATTTTGACATCATTTTTTTAAACATTTTCTAGAAATTGTTTCGTGAGTATATGCTCTTCTTTTTCCATCAAAAAAATAACTGCATCTGACCCTAAATGAGGTCAAAAGAAATTAAAACATATTAAACTTGACATCTCTAATTCTAATGTCAAATCCATACTGTTGTATGGGGCAGAAACACGGAGAACAATTAAAACAATTATTAATAAACTACAAACATTCATTAATTGGTGGCTGCACAATATAGAGGGAATTAAATGGTATGTTAGAATCACTTCTTCTTCTTTCGTTCGCCTGAAAAAAGTTGTCTATATCAGCAATTTTGTCTCTTGTATAAATTTCACTGTTGTTAATTCATTCAGTGGTCCATGGATTTTACGTTCCACTGGTGTTCTTTCTGGCCAAAAGGTTTTCCTTAATGTGTCAAATTCGGTGCAGTCCTGGAGTACATGCTCTTCTGTCTGGGGCACCTTTCCACAGGTGCACATGGCTGATACGTCTATCTTGAATTTTGTGTACATGTGGTTACATAATCGGTTGTGCCCTGTTCTGAGGCGGAGGATAATGACTTTGTTCTGATCTGTCCAAAATAAAATAGTCGTCTTGTGCTGGGGCTGGTGGTTTCCTGATCAGAATCATTAATCAGGATCCACGCCATTGCTATGGCGTCTGTGCACTGTGCTGAGCTTCTTTGAGCTCAGACATGAGTTAGAAGAAGAACGGAGCACTTATGGGTTACTACCCGTGTGCCGTGATGTTGGTCCGTTGTACAAAAATTCAATTCAATCACAAAGAAATGTTGAGCTTTGTGAGAGAACAAAACAAGCTCCAGTGGACAAGTGTTGGATACAACACACACTCAGAAAAATGAGAACAAAACAGCTAGAATAGAATGAAGAATGTCTTTGCACTGGAACCCACAGGGGCATAGAAATAAAGGCAGACCAAAAAACACACGGAGAAGGGATCTAGAGAGTGAAATTAAAAAGATGAGGAGGACATAGGATGAATTGCATGCGACAGCGACGACAGAAAAATTTAGTGTGAGTTGGTTGATCGTCTATGCTCTACTCATTGTTAGAAGGCTAAGAAGGTAGAACTAGAAGAAGAATAGAATATGATATAAATACAATAGTTATAATAATCATATTCAGGCTCTACTTTAAACTACGGCCAGTTAGTCGGAGTTCTGTCCCCTTGCTGCAGTGCAATTTACGGAGTGGAAAGGAGGGAATGAAACAAATGACATAATTACTGTGTGTTGGCAATAGACAGCGTGCACTGTGCTGCTATGTGCAGTGTTTTTTCGTAATCATACGGTTACGGTTTGGGTTAGGGTAGGGTTAGGGTTAGCGTGCACTGCCCTGCTATAATCATACGCTTAGGGTTTGGGTTAGGGTTAGTGTCGCCGCATCTCATCTTCGCACAAATTCAAAGTAGCAACCCAAAACCTAACCGTATGATGACAGTAGGGCACTGCACGCTGTCTATCGCCAACACACAGTAATTATGTCACTTGTTTCGTTCCCTCTAATCCACTCCGTAATGTGTCGTAAGAAGCGGTAATTGAACGCGGTCGCTAATTTGAGTCGCAGCACGGGGTCTGCCAGGCATGTCGACCTCACTTTGTTTTCTGATTCGTGCCGTCTCCAGTCCGTAATTGCACTGCAGCCAGGGGACAGAACTCCGACTAACCGGCCGTCTACTGTTGTCTACCGGCCGTAGTTTAAAGGAGAGCCCATATTTATATTATATAATTATGATCATAGGTTCCCCTGAAGATGATGTATTATAATAACTTATATGCAACCTACTGATCATCGTTCTTATTCCTAATTATGTAATTTAGAGGGAATTGTTCCGTGAGCAAAAATGATCCTAGCACACGCACGTGCTGCTCACATTCCTGGACCGCACCTGTTGACGCTGGCGTGGAACACTGCAGGAATGTGGAGAGAAAAGAGAGCTTTGTTGTTTGAACTTCCAGCCAGTAAACTTTCCAAAGTGTAAAAAAAAAAGTACCTATACGATATAAAATGACCACAAAAATATCCGAAAACCACTTTGAAATGTTCGAGTTTCTTAAATGAGGACCCCAATGGCGCTAGTGTGTAGAGGGAGGGTTGATATAGAGATAAGACGACCTCTCACCTGATAGACGACATTGTTGGCGTTCTCCATGTTGTTGTCATTTCCTTGTTGTGACGTCCGGGGCCAGGTGTGTCTTGCAGACACCGGCCAAATCGCTATTTTACAGATAATATTTCATATAGTTTTATAATTAAATTATTTATACATGATTAGCTTCTTAATTTATTAAATACTTATTAGTTAATTATATATTAGATTGTGGAGAGGCATAAGTAGAAGTCGGTAAGACACTTGATGATTATGAAGATGTACGTGTGGTTTCGAGGCATGGCGTCCGCCTCCAGTGTTGGAGGTCCCGGGTTCAAGCCCTGTTGAAGGCTAAGATTGTATTTCACGTTGACTTGTAGTAATTTCCCCTGGTCAGCGGGTTAGTAATACCGGACGCCCGTGTGTATTGCTGCGCACGTTAAAAAAAATCCCTTGGCAGTTGGATATCGAAAAGATAATCCTAACGGCGCTGCCCGGGCAAAATTTAGAGTTAAAAATATAACCATAGTATTTCAGGATCCTCACCGGTGTTAAGGAGTTCGTGCACTGCGCTGATACTTTTCGGATTCAGGCTTGAGTCAGAAGTAGAATGGAGCCCTTATGAGTCACTACCCTTGTGTCATGAAGTTGTTCCGTAGTCTAAACCTAAACCCTATATGCATGAATCCTGTTATATGAGGTTCTGCAGGCAGCTAATGTCTGGGAAAAAAAACTGATCATCATCATCAGGTGCCTTGCCGACTGGCGTAGGCGATCATGCTTCTCTACAATTTGCGATCTCCTGCAGCATGTATCAGTTTGTGTGCCGACACACCTTTATGCCATGCAACAAGACTGTCAAGCATCTTCTCTCGTTGTCTTCCTCTATCCCTCCTTCCACAGATCTTTCCAGTGGTCACAACATGTTCTATTTTCCCTCTTCTCATAACAATGCCAAAAAATGATGACTGTCTCTTTCTGATGACTGTGATAAGTTGTCTTCGGGCTGCCGCCTCTTTCAAAACCTCTAGGTTGCTCTTTTTGGCTGTCCAGGGTATTCTAAGCATTCTTCTGTAAAACCACATTCCCGAGGCTTTAAGAAATTATTTGGCCTGCCAACCGATTGTCCAGGATTCACAACCATATGTTAAAACTAGATACATGTAGCAAGCAAGAATTCTTTTGCTAACTGGTCACATAATGCATAAAAAAGAACACACACAAAAATACCACACAACCCAGTCTTCTTCTTCTTTTGTCAAAATCTGCTTGTGCCGCTAGGCGTCGCAGTCTATCAGATGATCGGCAACCGAGCCAGGGCGCGCTCAGTCGCTTCATATGCCGTGATGTTATGAAGTCTCAAGTTGTCCGTGACTCCTTTAATCCATCTTCTTCTTGGTCTTCCCCTGCCTCTTGGTGTTTCGATTTTCATGTTGTATGCTCTTGATGCTGGCATCGTTGGTTCCATTCTCATTAGGTGACCAAACCATTTCATTCTTTGCTTCTCAATAAATTTAACGATGGGTATGGTTCCAATAGTTCTTGTAATCACATCGTTTCTCACTCGATCTCTTCTGGTTTTATTCGCAGCCATTCTCAAACATCTCATTTCACAGGTGGTTAGTCTTCTCTCGTGTTCTTTTGTTAATGTCCAAGTCTGACATTGATAATGTCGGTATAAAGATTGTATTTATTATTTGTCTTTTTATCTCAGCTGGGACAGCAGGGTGTTTTAAAATTGGGGCAAGCTGGTATGTGACATTGTTGGCTTGTTGGATTCTTGCTTCGATCTCTCTGTCTATTTTACTAACTAGTCATATAATGCCTAAAATAGAACACACACAAAAATACCACACAACCCAGTGAACACTATAAATCGAATTATAACCATGAGGATATACCGGATTGTGTGTGTGTAAAAATGATTACTACAGCTCGTGTTCTTTTTAACCCCTTCTGTCGCCAATAATGCGTCACACAATGCACGAACTCAACAACTCCGGAGGCGATCTTCATGGATCTCTGTTTAAAAAAAAAACTGTTGCCTTCAGGTCTTGATGGAACCGAATTTTAACAAATTAACCTTGGCTTTCCGATCGACCCAGCCATAAATTGGTACCAGGTACAGTCTTCGGAAGTAAAGGCGGCCGGTGGCATTTTGACCACACCACACACCGAATGCGGATCAGTCGATAAAATATAGGTCTAGTCCTAAATGCCCAATACATCTGAAAGCGTTGAAGGGACCTTTACTAACTTTTCTTTGTTATGTTTATTATTATTCAATCAAGTGTCTAAACATGCACCGATCCTAAACACAAAGTGTTTGAGAATGGAGGTGGAGGCAGTCACTGCAGCCTTCCGCTGGATTTAGAATCAACTGTATACACATGCTAGGATTGTAACTGACTCACAGAACATGTTGAGAAAGGTGGAGACAGGCATGCTCCGTGCAGAGTGGCAAGCATCACTTCAAAGGTCCCGGGTAGTTAGCCAGCCTCTTTTGGATATTTTCTCCAGGGTATGCCGGTGTGTTGGGACATGAGCAGTCAGATAGACTGGCCAGTTTTGCACCACTTGGTGGTAAAGTGATGTATGACAAGCTGGATGTTACGAGGGCCCTCTGGGAACGAGTGAACAGTGCCGAGGCACAGATAGTTCATTACGGTCTGAGGAGAATCGGACTGCGAGGAGTTAAAAGGGGATCTCATGGATGTTCGATACTCAGGGGAAAGACGAAACGGATAAACAATCAGACAGTAACTGGTACCATCGGAATTGTAACTCTTCACTTGCTGCTGAAGATGGGGACGGAGCGCTTATGGTGGTGTCCTGAGTGATGTGATGTCGATTATTAATTCAACATTCAACACAAGAAATTGTCTACTGCAGACGCACTAAAACCAATGGCGCCTAAAATAAGAGCTCATACTATGTACAGTTGCGTCAACATCATCAAGTGCCTTGCCAGCTGGCGTAGGCGTTCATGAGTCGTAACACATCTCGGTCTTTGGAGTTCTGGATTGATTCCATTGATGATATTCCTCCATGCCATTGTCTTAAGCCGTCCACCATCATTTCTCTTGGTCTGCCTCTGCCTCTTCTACCAGTGATCTTTCCAGTCGTCACGATATTTCCCAGTGCTCCTTGTCTCATCACATGACACAATATTTTGGAAGAAAATATTACCAAGTATATCCCCCCTCCCCTCCCCCTCTCCCGTTGGCACCTCTCCATTTTCCCAACCGATGGTGTTATATTGTTGTATGGGCAGGCATGAGATATGAGTGTGTGTTCGTTAATGCCTTTCTGTCTTTCCATATATTTGCGCTTGCCTGCGTGTGTGTGTGGTGGTGGTTGGGGGGGGGGGGGGGGGCGGGGTGTTCAGACACAACTGGATTGAAACAAAATAATTTCAGTTTCCAAAACAATTGCTGGATCCCTTTACCACCAACCAGTACGACTGAAGAGTATATACAGGATTTTAAATAGTAATAGAAGCGTCTGTACTATAATCTCTAGACGATGGTTTGCCGGTCCAAAGGTTAAGGGTTCAAATCTGTATTGAGGTGGATTCATTTAAAATTTAAACTTAGCTTCCAGGCCACATAAGCCTAAAATGGATATCAGATAATGTCATGGGAAGTAAAGGCCGCCGGCGTGACCTTGACCACATCACACATAGAGTATCAATAGGTAGATCAAATATAATTACTCATTGTTCCAAATTCGCGAAAAGGTTCCTTCTCATGCTGAGTTGAGTTCTGTTGAAACTACATCACAGAACTCGAAATATTCCCATGAGTACCACGTTCTCAGTTTCAGCATCGTCATCATCATGTAGCAGGCCCTTTGCAGAACGTCGCTCTCATCACAGTCTGCCTGAAAGAAACTCGGTCTCTCGCCAGCTCTCCCGTCTCATGTACTTTCATACTCAAGAAGTCACTTATATCCTATGCTAATCTTCGTGTCGGTCGACCCTTGCCCCTCCTTCCTGGTACCATGCTTTTTGCTATATTTTTGTCGAATCCGCCGTGGCGCTTGATATGAACAAAATATTTCAGTTTCCGAGACAGGATGCTGTTTGATAGCCAATCTTCCTTGATGTTCAGATCTTTCGAAATGTCAGTATTTATCTTCTTCTTTGTCCAAGATATTATGAGAATCAATTTCAGCAGCCAGCTAAAAGCTCTAATGCGTGTGCAACCAGTAGCAGTTTGATTATATGTCCGTCTCGTCTTCTCTGACAGAGCATGCTGGGCTGGAGATCTACTAAAGTCTGACTTAATTGTGAAGACTTACCTGACTGATTGATTGATCGATTGGTTGATTTAATGACTGATCTGCGACTTGTGCTAGCGTAGTGACTAGACGCTCGCCTTCCTACTCGAAGGTTTTCAGCTCGAATCCAGTTTGTTTCTTTAAATGATCGTGGCCAGGACTATGACGCAACCTTAAATGCGCACCAGGTAAAGTCCTGGGAAGTAAAGGCAGCCAGCGTGATGTGACCACAACAGCTACCGAGTAACAATTGGTCCAGACAAATATTGGTCTAGCATCAAATACTCGATGGGCTACTGGCGTAAATAGAGTACACTTTAAGGCGTGGTTTTTCTAGGCATATTTATGTTCATTTTTGTTGTTGTTGTTGTTGACATTTCCAATCTGAACAGTCGATCTTGATGCTAAATCACCAACAGGTGGGATCTAAATTGGCACCCCTGCATTACAAATCGCGTTCGCAACGCTTCATCAAACATGTCTACCACACAGCTTGAATTCCACAACTATGGAGTATGACAGACGTCAGTCAGTTCGTCTCAAAACTATTCTTAAAAAGAAACATGAAACCGCATCTGGGCCTTGTTCTGGTTTCTATTTGGGAGAACGAAGAACAGACCCTTTGCTCTCTTACAACTGTAATTGTAGCAGGCGATTGCATGAGAACCAAAAGTCTGCATACAAATAAGCCAGATCTGTAAAATGGATGTTCTGCAAAACTCAAGTACTCGATCAAAACTAAAGTCCAGGAGTGGACGAACAATCATAACTTTCCCCTAGACTCTGCAACTAGTGACCACTCAGAAGAAGAAGAAGAAGAAGAAGAAGAAGAAGAAGAAGAAGAAGAAGAAGAAGAAGAAGAAGAAGAAGAAGAAGAAGAAGAAGAAGAAGAAGAAGAAGAAGAAGAAGAAGAAGAAGAAGAAGAAGAAGAAGAAGAAGCCCCCGTGTGGGTTCCGGGGCCCCATTGTGGGGAAAACAAGAATAGACCCACTGCCTCCCCAAAAGCATGTCGTAAGAGTCGACTAATTGGGGAGCTTCCTTTGAAGTCGGAGTGCATCTGCCGGAGAGGCAAGGAACCAACAGTCTGTATTCAAGAGAATGAGATCTGTAAAACTGATGCACACGCAACACTCAGGTTCTGGAGCAGGACTGCAGTTCAGTAGTGGACGAGCAACCAGAACCTTCCGCCAGAGTGTACAGCTGGTGAACGCGAAGAAGAAGAAGAAGAAGAAGAAGAAGAAGAAGAAGAAGAAGAAGAAGAAGAAGAAGAAGAAGAAGAAGAAGAAGAAGAAGAAGAAGAAGAAGGAGAAGAAGAAGAAGAAGAAGAAGAAGAAGAAGAAGAAGAAGAAGAAGAAGAAGAAGAAGAAGAAGAAGAAGAAGAAGAAGAAGAAGAAGAAGAAGAAGAAGAAGAAGAAGAAGAAGAAGAAGAAGGAGAAGGAGAAGAAGAAGAAGAAGAAGAAGAAGAAGAAGAAGAAGAAGAAGAAGAAGAAGAAGAAGAAGAGAAAGAAGAAGAAGAAGAACCAGCATTTCTAACCACAACAATCTTCGCTACTGTAAACCGCAACCAAACCAGCAGCGACGGAATGGCGGGCAACGCCAAGCTGGCAAGTATGACGAAGGTGGTCCCCGACTCGGACTGCCCGTAGACCGAGAGTTGGCGAGAATGATTATGCCAACGAGCTCAGTTGTGTGGGGGAAGTAAATATCAAGTCTCCCCCCTCACTGGCATAACCAAACATGTACTGGAAGTTCATTTTTGTGAATTTTCTTCTGGTACTACCAAATACTTGGATTCTGACATCGGCATCGTTGGAAAACGTTCCAGGTAAGCCGTTTTTCTGACACAGTCTTCACCTCTCTACGTAACAATTCAGTGTAACCAGTTCCATGATGTGGTCTGCTGGGTACAGCTATGCACAATAACGTTTTGCCTCAAATGCGAACTTGAATTACGTAATCGGGCTACCGTTTTTTTTCACTTCTCTCATACACTACGAAATAAAATAAACCGATGTCTAACCACCGAGGCCGGAAAGCAGTATATATAATAAACAAATGAATGTACTCATAGGCACTTACAGAAGGAAGTAGAACCTAAGATTAGAAGGACACACTAGACAACATACCAATCGCAAGCTATAGTTCACCGTACTGGGAATCGAACCTTTCACCTCCACCAAGAGACGAAAGTGTCGACAGAGCTCCGCGGCAGGAACAAGTGTACTTAGACTTATAACTAACTAAAAAAGTTTCTTTACTAGCTATGTTCATCATACAGCTTAAACCCAACAAATGTGGAATAGGGACATAAGTCACTCAGTTCAGTTCCTGTCAAAATCATATTTTTAAAAAAAATCACGAAATCATGTTACTTCTTTTTTTTTTTAAAATCACCACGGAAACCATTTTATTATTTATGTTGACAGTTAGCTTGTATTTTGGTAGAAGTAATCACTGAGGTAAATGAAGAAAGGAACTGAACAGGTGAAAACTACTTTTTATATAATGAACTGAATAGAATTGGGGAAAAAACCAGCATTTTATCAAATGACAACAGGACAAGCAAAAGCTTTATTTATTAAGCTGAAGAAAATCTTGTTTAGTAAATTCCTGTCATTAAAGGTTTGTGGACTAAGAATTTGTGTATGTTACATAGAACTGGTGTTGGCCTCTCACTGTGAACTCAGAATTTGTGTATGTTACATAGAACTGGTGTTGGCCTCTCACTGTAAACTCACACAAAGAAAACATGGAGGAAAAATTGGGGGGAGGGAGGCTCATTTTTTTACAATATAATTTAAAATTTTAATGGGGGTTAGTAATAAGAATTAATAATAACGTGCTGAATGACCCCAAAAAAAATGTGTTAACATTTGAAATAATATGAAATATATCAACAAATTCTTCAAATACGAAAATCTACACCTGGTTCCTTGATTGAGATTTTGGAAAAGGGGGCGGGGGGGGGGGGGGGGGGGGGGGGGGGGGCTTAGCTCCTGTACAAATTGTTGACTTTTTTGCGCTGGGTTCCCCGGGTGGGTTTTGGGGCCCCATTTTAAGTGGAAAAAAAAAGAACTAGACCCTCCACCCAACCCTTTTTTAACAAGCATGTCATAAAAGTCAAATAATTAGGGGTGTTTCCTCCAGGAGATGAGGAACAAATATGCATACGAACAAGAATATGCATACAAACAAGAATGAAGTCCAGCAGTGAACAAATAACCAGAACTTTCCACGAGAGTTTACAGATAAGAAATACAAGGAAAGCAAAACAAAAAAAAATTGCCTAAGGTTTTATCCCACATGGCTGAGTCTCTCAGCAGAGCAGCTGGCCACCCACCGAGAGCATCACACAAAAGCCTGACCTTTATAGCTACGGCACAAAACCCCCATGGATCTCCATAACAATTACACTGGTAAACAGAACAGTGAAGGTGTGAAATGAATCCATGAGTTTTAGAGGGTGAGGTAAATGAGTTGACCACTTCACTATGAAGACTCCCAAAACAGAGGGAGAGCTCTGCAACTCTGTTCCCATGAAGAAAGTAATTTGGTGCTGTCAGAAGACAAGTCTTTTCACCAACCTCTGCAGTTAGCCCCTGTTCAGGGCTTTAACTCTTAGAGTCCCAAGGAACGCATCATACGTTCATAGATTCCTGCCTACAAACCCAATAAACGCAAGATGCGCCAATTTTACGTCTCTCTTGACTACCCCTTGGGCCTGTCATGCTAAACCCCCTGGGACTCAAAGAGTTAACAACCTGAACACCATTGCATTAGACCTTACTGTTTAAGTCCTCACAGCTTTAACAACCTGAACACCACTGCATTAGATCTTACTGTTTGAGTCCTCACAGCTTTAACAACCTGAACACCACTGCATTAGATTTTACTGTTTGAGTCCTTAGGGCTTTAACAACCTGAACACCACTGCATTAGACCTTACTGTTTAAGTCCTCAAGGCTTTAACAACCTGAACACCACTGCATTCGACCTTACTGTTTAAGTCCTCTGAGCTTGAACAACCTGAACACCCCTGCATTAGACCTTACTGTTTAAGTCCTCAGGGCTTTAACAACCTGAACACCACTGCATGAGACCTTACTGTTTAAGTCCTAATTAATGCTTGGTAGCGAGTAAGAGGTAGATAGTCTTCTTCTTCTACGATCCTTCTGTCAGAAAACTTCTATCAGGAGGCTGGTACCCTTTATGAAAGCTATCTTGCAATTCCTGTCTTTTCGTGTATCATACAACTTTGTTAATTGTGGTTGGAACAGGTCAGACTGTGTCTCTGTTGGCTGGATACAATTAACAGTTTTGGAGCACATGCTCAGCATTTTCTGGTGCCGCGGTACATAGACAAATCTCTGTGTTTCCTATACTAAAATGTTTGAACATATCTTGATGAAGTCTGTTGTGCCTTAGTCTGAATATTATACATTGTCCCTCTCTAGAGAGGTGATCAAGCGAGTCTTGAGGAGAGAATTTAGTGTGTGTATCCAGCCACCCTTCTTGGATACTTGATTGTATCAATGTCTGTTGATGGGTTAAGTCACTGTTTGGTTGTACCATTTTATTGCCGCTTCTGGTCAGTCTGTCCACTATAGGTTGACAGTACTGCAAATGGGAGGATAATAGCGAGAGTTGAGTGAAAAGCAATCTCAGAATGTTTGCAACCAGAATGGGAGATACACACTGTTGCAGCTAACACATGCAAAGGCTCTTTCTTGAATATCCCATTAATCACATCAGATTTTTTCTTCCACTTTTTTACATTTTGGTCTTGTCATACAGAAGAAAACTGCCTTTCCTAATGACAGCTTTCACTGTGCAACCAGTTACTTTGACAGTAACACTGTCATGATTTTTCACAGGGGTTATTTCTTACCTTAGTTTTTCTGTCAGGGGCAAAATTAAACATCCTAACCTGCACAGTCTGTGGCAACTGCATTAGCCAGGCGGCTCTACATCTTCAGGTTCAAGGCTGCCTTGTTTACACTGCCCTATTTACAAGTGATAAAACAGACAGTAGTGACACTTTTATTTTTCACCTTGTTTGCTTCGTCCTCATCTTCAGCAGCCCGTGCAGAGTTCCAGTACTGATGGTACTGGTCGTAATCTGGTTATTTGTCTGTCTTGCCTTTCCTTTGAGTGTAGTCAGCCAGCCAGACCCTCTGGTTACCCAGGTGCCTCATTCTCTCCATAATAATCTTGTTCCTCTACTGATTCCATTGTTTGTTCCCAAAGAGCTTTGACCACATCTGCCTTGTCATGTATCAATTCACCATCTAGGGGTGCAGATCCAACCAATCTGTCTGCCTTTTTATTACCCATACCTGTCTTCTAGAGAAAGGGTGAGGAATATCTGAAATCTTAGTTATATAAAACCCAGAAATCATTTGGGCTGATCCTGCCAGGGCAACCAGAATGAATTTTTGACCTTTCCATAAGGCTCCTGGGGCCCCATTGTAGGAAAACTAGAATTGACCCACTGCCTCCCAAACAAGTATGTTGAAGGAGTTGACTAATTGGGGGCATCCTATGGAGTACCTCTGCCTGAGAACCAAGAGCCTGCATACAAATAAGCCAGATCTGTTAAACAGATGTGCATTCAACAACCAGGTTCTGAAACAAGACTAAATTCTGGAGTTGGAAGAAACATAGTAGATTAGTGTTAAGTTAATAATTGTGTATGGCCAGTAAATGATATTATGAATGTCCAAATGAACCTTGGTAGAAAGAAAAGTCTTTTCTACAAACTTCTCAATCAATCATGTTCGCTGGACTGTTGAATAATATTTCTGATGGGATGAGACACAAATGGGAGTAATATCATCATCATCATCATGTATCATAGCATATGTCATCTATGCCTTTTCAGTTCATTGTATGCAACACTGTAATAGCAATTTGCTACATTTATCGCACACTTCCTTAGCAAGGTGCTGCAGTATCCCATACTCTTAGATCCTACATTGAACAGTGTTGTCCTAACATAATATTTTATGACCATAGCAAGCTGCTAGATAATCATCTGTTATCCCTTGCTGTCCCAACAAGAAGTTATATTATCCCCAAAAAGATACTATATTATCCCATGCTGTGTCAACAAGATGCTTCATTGTACTATCCTGTCCCAACAAGATGCTTCATTGTACTATCCTGTCCCAACAAGATGCTTCATTGTACTATCCTGTCCCAACAAGATGCTTCATTGTACTATCCTGTCCCAACAAGATGCTTCATTGTACTATCCTGTCTCAACAAGATGCTTCATTGTACTATCCTGTCTCAACAAGATGCTTTATTGTACTATCCTGTCCCAACAAGATGTTTCATTGTACTATCCTGTCCCAACAAGATGCTTCATTACCCCATGCTGTCCCATGAATGATGAAGTGTGATAATAAGCCTGCACCTCAGAAAGAAACAACGTTTGTTATCAGACAGTTTCCCATTAAGCTCTGAAAACCAGCTTTTCTATTTTTATTTCCTACCACAACTTTCCACATGTCCGTTTTAGGAAATCCAATTAATTTGTTTATATTTGATTCTTTGTCCACCCTATATCATTGGTTTTTATTAGGAAAGTTTTTGTAACTGAAGGTTAGTAATCCTGCTGTATTGTTATTCAACAAAAGCTTTTATTGAAACTTTAACATCTTGTCTCTATATATATATATATATATATATATATATATATATATATATATATATAGAGAGAGAGAGAGAGAGAGAGAGAGAGAGAGAGAGAGTTTTTTCACAAACTTTTTTTCTTCTTCTTCTTGTAGTTCAAGCATATAACGTTGGTAGTCATGCCTATCC